TCCACGCCAGAACGGATTAACGGTAATTACATTGAACCTTATGGGGAAATTTCCTTCAGGTCACGGAACGAATTAAGTTCGTAAACCGAGGTTCCACTGTATTGGTTAATTCAAAGTATAAAATTAATAAAAAAACAAATACTATTTTTAAGATATTATGAAAGCTTATGGTATATACAAAGATCCCTTCTATATAATCTAGAGAGTTGGGGAGGGGGGAAGTATTATAGTCTGTCTCTTATTTATTAAGAGGACCAATTGATTATGAACCATTACAACTTTATTTAACATTGTAAGAACAGATGGTATCATTTTTAGACCCTTCTTCGTAAAGATAGATCAACAAAACTTTCCCCAGGTGCTTAAGTATACAGTGATTGTCACAAGGGCTCCCAGTCTTCCTTTTTCTTTTGTTTTATAAAATCCAGATGCCCTTTTCCTCTTCTTCCCATCTGTCAGTGGTGTCATTTTTAACCTTTCTCTGTCCAAGTTTTTGTAGGTTTCTGGCTGCTTTCCTTATAAGGGAATGTCCAGTTAATCCTTTACTTGCATTCCACGAATGCAGTAACTTGTCATTAATCACAAAAGCAATACTTTGACTGGGTTCACCCCACATGTTTAACGAGACAGGTGAAAACCTAGGAGATATATTTGCAGAACCTTGGTCAGTGTGAATCTTAATCTCCTTTTGGGTAGCTTAGCTTCTTGAAGAAACGCAACCAGATTTGATACATTTATTGTTCAATATATTATATGAACCCCCCAGATGGATTCATAACTAGGATAAGTATGTTGTGTGTCACAATCAATTTGTAATATATGCTATATTTATAATGTACTATAAGTGCAAGGGGGCTCATAACTATAGGAGAAATAGAAGATGTTAGAAAAACCAGGTGGTTTTGATGACCAAAAGCACTAACACTGGAAGCTGTTTAGGGTACAGTTTTCTAATCTTATTTGTTTGTTTGATTTCTGTAGCTGCCCACCTCACATATGTGACTCTAGATGGCTTACAATAAAATAGATAAAATACATTGTATAAAAAATAAAACACATAGCAGCCTAGCACCATCAAACAACTATCAGCATAGCTAGGCTCAGGCACAAAACCAAGTTTTCAGGCCTTATGAAAGGCCAGCAGGAATGGGGCTAATCTAATCTAAGGGGGGATGACGTTCCATGGCAGGAAAGGCTCTCCTTCTGGGCCCCACCAGCGAACATTCCTTAGCCAATGGTACCAGGTGCATGCTCCTCCTGCCAGATTGGGTAGGATGGGTAAAGACAATAGCAAAGAGACAGTCCCATAAGAAATTTGTTGCATAGTCCCCATTTGGAAGGAATGCATGTTGAGTGCCAGAATTAAAGAGGCAACAATTAGGTTCTTCTTAGTTTATATCAGTGCTTCCCAAACCAGGGTAAATTATTCATAATTGGGTAAAAGTAGTTTTTTTTTGGGTAACAACACACGAACCCATTACCCATCACAACAGGGCCATTTAAATTGACTTAAAGATTGCCACATGTAATAAAATATATTCAAAAATCTCCCAAAGTATTCCTATTAAGATGAAAATCAGTGAAATTACCAATGGTAATTTGTTGAAATGACATAAAGATGATACAGTGATATTGTTTTTATAATACAGGTAGTCCTTGAGTTATAACCATTCAGCGACCTTTTAAAGTTATGACAGTGCTGAAGGAAGAGACTTATGACCGGTCGTCGAAATTCTGGCTGTTGCAGCACCCCTGCAGTCACGTGAACAAAATTCAGGTGCTTGGCGACCAGCTCACACTTAAGACTGGTTGCTGCGTCCCACGATCACATGATCATCATTTGAAACCTTCCCTGAAGGCTTCCTGCAAGCAGAGTCAGTGCCAGCAGGGGAGGTAGCAAGTCGCTTGGGTAAGCCTCCCCCACCCAACCTGGCCTTTCTTTGTTTGCATGTATCTCACCTTCCTTCCCCCCTTCACTCACAGCACGCACCCACCAGCACCCTCCTTCGAGTAAGCAGTTTTGTGTAATGAAGGAAAAAAGTTTGGGAAGCATTGGTTAATATTCTACGTGACACCTATTGCCCTAGCACAAGAATGCCCTTGGCCCATTGTGCTACAGGCTGATGTAATGGTCTGTGAGAATGTCTGAGAAACAGGAGGAGGAGGAGGAGGAGGAGCTGCAGTCTAGGCAATGGTCAGATAAGAGGTACCTTCACCCACAGAAGGAATAGGGCTGCGGCAGACGTCTCAGAAGGGACTCTCCCTTGTTTCTTGGGCTGTAAATGAGGGGGGAGAGATGTATTTTCAGACCTGCAAGATTCTGTTACTGTAACCTTACAGTAAAGGTAGTGTTAGTGCTCATGGGTTGTGCTGCTTGTCTGGACTACCTCAAAGGGCTAATAGCTGAATACCAAAAAAGGGGTGAGGCCAGGACAATTGTTATGTTTAGATTTTAATTAAACTGATTTTTTAAAATTACAGTTAATATAATTACCCCTGTGTGTTTACTGATTTTCTTCCTTCCAGATCATGAAAAACTACAATTTCTTGATCACCTTTTGATGGATTCTGGGGGCCACCCTTGTGTTCTGGAGAAAAGGGCAGATTTGATGATAGGTTAAAAAAAAAACCCTGCCTGTTTCTGGTGTACCTCTGGTTTACAACGCTAACCCTTGTTATCCTTATAAATACTACAAACAATTCTGTACACCAAGAATTAATACAAAGCAGCAAGACCAGGCTTTTTCCACTTAACAGAAAGAAAACAAGCCACCCTGTTCAAAAAGCTCAAAACCACAAAGCTCATAAAATTTAAAGAAAAACGGGGAATTCCAAGCACAAGCTATGTTGTAATTACTTTTTGAGAACCAAGTTCGGAATGCCAGGTCATCCTTCTGGCACTACCTTCAAAACTAGTCTTATTTTTAGAGGACACAGAATTATAACAGTGTGAGTCAGCTGACTGCTTTGTCACAGAGCTGCTGCTTTCTACATTACTGTAAGTGCCAGAGCTCTCCCTGCTGCAGTTTTCTAGTCGCAGTGCGGCAAAGCAGACGCCTAGAACCGGGCACAGAGCAGCATAGGTTTTATTATTTTTATGGCAGAAAAACTGTCCATCTGTTTTAATGTACTGCACATTTCTGCTTTTCTTAGAGTGCAGGAGCAGCAGACCACCTGGAATGTGGATGTAGGCTTCTGACATTAGCAGCGATGTTGAACTGAGCCTCTTTCCTAAATGCCTCTGGTGAAGAATGATTCGTTTTCTGCCTTGCATGTGAACCGTTGCTTATGCCACTGCGATAGATACCTGCAAGAACAGGAGAAAGGAGACGATACCTGTCACTGCCTGGGGCCTTCTCTCCCCCTTCTCCTCTTTTTTTTCCTCAGCTCTTCTGCCCTGGAAGCCGTCTACAGGTCCCAGAGTAATACTTAGTCCTGGTCCTGTAGGTAGCCACAGTCGCTCAGATCAGTTAGAGCAAAAGCTCAGACCAGCAAAGCAGGCTCCCTGATCCAAGTCCGTTCCAGTCCTTTTGGATGGATACAGGGGAGCAGCCGACTAGCAGGGACACAACCAGCCATCAAGTGGAGCACCTCTGGGACTGCAGTCGGTCCCAAGCGCTGCTGACTTTGTTTTACCTTCTCTTTCCCCTCAGCAGCTATTAATGGCTTTGGGGTATATTTGTATGGATTAGCGTGTCACGAGGGCACTCCTTGTCCGCGTCATGTTGGAAATAAGAGTGCTGAAGTCAGCCTGCCTTAACCGTGGTTTCTTTCTGCGTGATGCTATGCAGCTAGAATGGGTCACACTGACAACCAAGGAAGGATCACCACATTCCTGGACTCCTGGGATGTTGTTTCAGGAAAAATCTAACTCTTTCTCAGTGCATTATGCTTTTTGTCTTCTGCTTTTTCTCCTATCTATACCTCTAGATATAAAGACCTAATTATATAAAAGACTTAATCAGAAAGGCACCGCTATGGACGTGGGTTTCAAAATGCTCTGGGGTGGAGGGAAGGTAGTTCATGGAGAACTGTGATGTGAGGCAGGATGCACACCGTCTGCATTCTTGCTGATTTGAAACACTCTGTTTTTTTGTGAAGAGCAAGCCCTAAGGGACGAGTTCAGTGACTAAGAAAGCGATCGCAGATAAAAGAAATAAAAATGACAAGCATAATGGAAGCTCAGCAGAAGAAACTGTCAGCGAAATCAGTGCCTGGATGGTAATCTTATCCAGTCTGAATAATTATGAATAATTCATAGAACAAAATTACTTTGCTTTCACCTTTTCCACTTAAAATGGCATGATGTGAATCTCTAATAAATTTTCAAGAAAAAAATATAACGCCAACTTGAATCTGAAGAGGTTTTTACAACCAGATGCTATATCCTGATTCTTCCGGTACCTTTCACAATGATTCTGTGAGAACCCTACTTCATCACGAAGCACTATTACCAATGAAAATTACAGTGATTACAATGGCAACAATAGAGTGCTATCAAATGATTTCTAATATACCTAATTTTCTAAGGCTGACTGCATTGATTTTCATGCGCAGATCTAAATGCCTGGCTTCTTGGATTTTATATCAGAATGTGATAAAAATGGCTTGGTAAATATGTGTTGTGTTTGGTGCTTTTATGGGAAAATGTAGCTTTATGTTAAAATGGTTATAGCCATCTATTTATTTGTTATTCTACCATTCTTGATGATTGCATTAATTTCCTGCTCATAGGATTGCATTCTGTTACATGTTTGTTTATACCATAATGCTCGAGCACTTATACAACAGCAAATTTAGCTGAATAATTTGTACAGCTGTAGAAGTATGTATTCTTTGAATTAGATAAGTACCCTGAACTTGTTTGAATGGCTGTTTTCAAGTTAAAAAAAAGATTTCTGTTGTACTGGCAGTTGAGGCTTAGCTAACTAACTATATAATCCAAAAATGGGTGCGTTACACGAGACAATTAAAAATATAGCATATGTGTAACTTAGGAGATTCTTTAAAAGAATTATTCAGTCCCTAGTTTCTTGTTAGCGCAAGTACATTTTTGTGTTAATATGCGTGAATATGATAAAACAAGAACCAGGGTTTAAACAAATGGGAAACAACATAGAATGAAATTACAGTATGCTAAAATTCTCACTATATTCTTTTGAAAATAAATTCCTATCTAGCAAGGAGCCACAAATATAGGAAAACTGAATAAACATTTATGGGTTCCTAAAATTAAAGTAGAATATTATTGGTGTGTGTGTGTGTGATTATTTTATTATTCTTGTGCATTATAATCTGATGTAAATACTTCCATATTTTTATTAGCTTCTTTTTGTCGATGCTTCTGTTAATTTTATATTGAATTGTTTGTTTAGAATAGTTTTGAAAGTGTTTCTTGCAGCCTGGGAAAATCCAAATTTAAATTTATGCTTCAGGTGAAGTTGTTGTCTGTGATCTGTGAGAGGACATTAGATAAGGTTGTTTGGATCTGGAGTTGGGTGGCAATTCTGTACTTCCCGAAGAATGTCCCTTAAAACCGATACACTTTTTCGGATTTGTCATCTGAAAAAAGGTGAAGCAGCTTTAAGGAGTCAATTCATGTGATTTGAAGCAGCTGTACTTTTTTAGGCTAGATCAGAAGACTGAAACAAGACCAGTGGTTTTAATGAATAGCAGAGAGGCATTGTGTTCATGCAAGGTTCAAAGTACTTCTTCCAAATAATTGTTGAAGAGTAATATGCAGTATGATGCAAAAAGCTTGTAACATCTTTAACCCTCCTTATCAGAAAGAAGTATTAGGGGGAGGGAATAAAAGCATGGGAGGGAGCAATGGAATAGCTGCTCTGGAAATGCTACAGAAGCAGCACCATCCTAGGATGGGGGAGGAGGAACAAGGGACATCAGACTGACAAAAGCAGTGTTGCAGATCTCAGTGCAAGCCCCATCCTTTTCTACATGCATTGCAGCACGCACACATGTCCCAAAAGAATAGAGCTTGCAGCATAATGCTGTGACACTGCTCTTGTCAGTTTAACAAAAACAGCAAGATCCTGTAGACACAGCTGTATAGAAGGGATATTTGCTTCCTTTGTTTTCCAGATGATACACATTCTTGCATATACAATAATTCCATTGTGGATTCATTAAAAATCCTTCTATTTAATTCTATGGCTTCCTAAGGTATCTGTAGCCTTCACAGATTTTTTTAATCCAGACTGTTGACATTTAATGGTAGATGCATTTGATTTTTATGTAAGTCTTTTGTTCATTAAATTAGCAGTGGAATAGATAGAATTATAGAATCATAGGGCTGTTTGGGACCTTGGAGGTCTTCTAGTCCAGCCCCCTGCCCAAGGCAGGAGTCCTCATACCATCTTGGACAAATGGTTGTCCAATCTTTTCAGCAATGGAGCACCCACAACTCGGGGAGGCAAGCTGTTCCACTGCTTAACAGTTCTCACTATCAGGAAATTCCTCCTTATTTCCAGTTTGGATCTCCCTCTGACAAGCTTCTACCTTCTTGTCCTACCCTCAGGTGCTGTGGAGAATAAATTGACACCCTCTTCCCTGTGGCAGTCCTTCAAGTATTGGAAGACTGCTATCATATCTCCCCTCAGTCATCTCTTAGTTAAGCAAAACATAACTTAGTTCCTTTAGCTGTTCTTCATAGGATTTAGCCTCCAGACCCCTTATCATCTTTGTTGCTATTCTCTGCACTCTATCTAGGGCCCCAGCATCTTTTTTGTATTGTGACCATAACTGAATGCAGTATTCCAAATGTGGCCTCACCAGTGTGGTGTAGAGCAGTACTGTCATTTCCCTTGATCTTGATACTACCCTTCTGTTGATGAAGCCCAGGACTAGGTTGGCTTTTTTGGCAGCTGCATCATACTGCTGACTCATACTTAAGCAGCGGTCCACCAGGAAACCTAGACCCCCCTCGTAGGCACTACTGTTGAGCCAGGTACTGCCTATCCTGTATCTGTGCATTTGATTTTTCCTGCCTAAATGCAGGACCTTACTTTTCTCTCCACTGAACTGCATCTTGTTGGATAGGGCCCAATACTCAAGTCTGTCAAGATCCTTCTGAATTGTGAATCTATCTTCTGACGTGTTAGCAATTCCTCCAGCTTTGTGTCATCTGCAAATTTGATGAGCGCCCCTTCAATCCCTCATCTAGGTCATTTATGAGGATGTTGAGCACTGGGCCCAAGACAGAACCTTGAAGTACCCCACTGCATACTTCCCTCCGTGTAGATCTAGTTCCATTAAGGACCATAAAGGATACAAGAAAATGTCCACCAAAATGAAGTAAATAAAAAATCCTCTGTTTACTATTTTATTTATATTTTGAATATTCAAATCTCACATCTGTAGATAGCTTATAAACTTACGTCAGTCCAATGAAAACATTGAAGCAAATAACGCTTCTAAAACAGAATGACTTATGCTGTTCATAATGAACTCAATTAACACCCATCTTCTTTAAGGAGAACATGTAGAACCTTCTGAAGGCCATCAAAGCTGTCTTTTGACCAACGTCCTTTGCAAGATTTTTATACCAGTCCCAGCCATGGGCTGCTTTAAAAGTAAAAACAAGCACACTGAATTAAATCTAAGCCTGACGTGACATCGTCAGCAGAGATGGCCCAAGAAATTTCATTGCCTGAGATAACAAAGATTCCTCCCCAACTCAGAATGGAATAGTAATCTTATTTCAGGGTTACCAATGGAGCAGTGTTGTTTCATTGCTGTTCAGGGAAAAGTGCATATGACACAAACAGCTCTGTCTTTCAAAGCTTTCCTTGTATCTCAGCATTTGCAGCCTTATCCTGTTCTCTGTTAACATGAGCATTACACTGAACTGTTCATTCCCACTTAAACCGTACCTTTTGGGTGCCTTCACCAAGGAGATCTGTCTGGAACAGACTTTGAGTTTTCAGTACCAAACAGACATTTTTATTCAAGGCATTTTAAACAGTTCATATGTTGATTTTAAACATACCTGCTGTTTAGAAATGAGAAATTACTCATTTGTCTGTGCTTATTTTATTGTACTGCCTTTTTACTATTAAGGATTATAGTAAATTTGTATCATTACATATTTTAACAGGTTAGAATTTTATTTGGTGATCTTAGCCTGCCATAAGCTGACTTGGGGAACCTGGTTTTTAAAGGTGATGTTCAAACCTTATAAGTCAGTCAGGTAATCAATCAATAGTAGTATATGTTAAGGGGCAAGAATAGTCACATTATCTTGGTTATGCATGGGGAAAATCTCTCTCTTCAAATTTCTGTTCTTTAACTTTTAAGAAGTATTGAAAACTCTTGCCTGCCAGTATGCGTGTAACAGACAAGAACTGCTCCTCAAAGTTGCAAGATTCTGTGATATTCTATAGGAAGAAGTTGCAGGATGGAGAAATACTGTGAAATTGCTGAGATAATGTGTGAGGTATGTCCGGGAGGTGGGGGGTAGGCTTTATTAAAAGATAGTTTTGTTTGTTATACAGTTTAGATAATTAGATATATCGATTGTTTGTTTGTTTGTTTATACAGAACAGAAGGAAAAAAAGAAACCAAAGCAACAAAATCAATCAATTATAATTTCAATTTTTAACATAGTGTATACTCTCATGGCTCCATGCTGTAATTGCAAAGGGTATTCTGAAGATTAAATTTGTGTTCATACTCTTAGAGAGCATACAGATAAGTTAATGTGGGCCAGTTGTTAGAGGCAGCAGTGAGTGCCACGCATGGGTGTTCTTTAGACTTGTGAATTGCTATGCTGTGCCTGTGAAATCTTTCAAACCCCATTACTTCAGCTTTACATTAGATGTACACAAGAGGACAGAAGCAGGTGGCTTTCTGAACTAGACTTTTCTAGGTGTAATTCTTTTGATACCATGGACAGGAATAAGAATAACAACATTTATACTACAGTTATATAGGTTTTCAATTAAGTTATACTGTAAACACTACTAATTCAAGACGGGGTCATATAAACTGAAATTTTTGAAGTAACAGCAAAAAACATGAGCTGGTACTGTAAGTACCCAGCATGATGCCCATCAAACTATGTTCCTTCCTCGGTACATAGCAAATAGTCAATGAAGAAAGTTCCTTTGCAAGCTGGAAGAGATTTCATATATTTAAGTAGCACAGTGCGCTCCTGAAGTCCAGGTTGTGTTACTGAACTAAATGTACAGTTAGGTTTAGGTACAGAAGATAGGCAGTAGCTAAAATGGAAATAAAAAGGGCAGCTACAATGATTGCTGGAAGCAAGCACGCCTGGGCCTGTAAGCTGCTACACGTTTGAGCTATTTTCCTTCTGGCATTGAGAACGCAAGCGGCTAACTAAGGAACTTTGCCTTAGTCTATGTATTGCAAACTCATTGCACGTGAACAGCAAAAAATATATCAAGTTTCAGTGTTGAGCTGCTGCCACTGAAACAGCCGCTAAGTTCATATTAGAGGCAGGGAGGCAATGAAAAGTGCCAGCTGAATAAAGAATACCCATGCCAACAGTACTGGCAAAGTGGAAACCATGCATGAACAGCCAAAGAAGTACAGAGTTGAACTGCTGTACTGAAAGAATGGTAGCTTAAGAGAGCCTTCCCGGACAAGGTACCGTTCAGGGGTGTTGGCTGGTTGGAGATGCTGAAAGCTGTTCTTCAAGACATTCTGTGTAAGAAGGGTGCTTTTAGGTTTCTAAAGTTTATGCCAATAGGTACTGCAAAAGTTAGAGTACAAAGAAGGAGGAAGTCAGAAATTAAATATTTATATTATTTTTAAGGGTCTTCTTTCCCTTTTTTCTTTTTTAAACATTTATAAATAATAATATAGTGGAGATTTTGATATTAAGCTAAAATGTATACTTTTGTAATATGAAAACATCTCAATGTACTTTGCTTGATATGGTTTATCTTTTACTAATGTTATATTGAGCATTAGTTGTATAACTTCAGTAATTATCTGTCCATTTATAGGTATTACCTTTTTTTTTTTGAAACTACACCTTTGTT